ATCTTCCTAATTAGTTGATATAGAGAAGGCTACCCCAGAGATCGGCGTGGTTTGAAGTTGTTTGTGATTGAGTCCTATTACCGTTATTTGTGTTGAAGTCTATTCATTTAATATATGTATTCAATTACTTTACATCTGTTCATGTTTTTATTTCTTTTTCCCAAAAATACTTTAAAGTTATTTGCCCTTTCTGTACATCACAAACTAGGTATTTTATTGTGATAAATCTTTCTTGTTTTTTTCTTTCTTTTTTTTGTTTATCTTTCCATTAACACAACATTAATTAATTTGAAACTTAGTTTTATTTAAGGCCTTCGGAATATTGAAAATTAATTAACAATAAAGGTAATGGTGTGTCGCAAGAATATCTTTCATTTATTTATTAGTATTTTGTTTGTTTATTTTGGAACAAAATACATATATATAATTAAGTACTGAGGTCTAAAGTAAATATAATTTTAAATGTTTACACCTAAACTAATTATATGATATATCACAGTATTAATATTTTAAATCTATATAAACAAACAAAACAAAAAAGTTGCTATAAATCATATGTATATTAAGCATCTATTATACCATTTCGGGTATTAACGCACAAAAAAATTAATCTGTATACACGGTTATTTGTAGCAAATATATATAATATTTATTCTTGAAAGAATAAAACACATAAATATTCATTTAACTTAATCACACGTTTTTTCATGAACGGTTTATAAAAAAGGGGGTGTGGAAAAGGGAGGGGTGCTAATATTGCATATTGGAGATAAAAGAAAACAAAGAAAAGAGTACATAATTGAAGTAAGCATATTTCCCCTGGCAAAATCTTATTAATAAGATTAATTTCATCCTTTATGACAGTGAGTTAGAAAATATGTACTTCAGCAAATGTTAGAGGGAATTTTCCCTTTCTTAAAGTAAGGATTTCTTTTTTTAAATTTGATACTCAACAATAAATCAATTCGATAATTTGCATAGCTCTGGTATGCATGGGAAAATTTCTTTTACAAATCTGTTTATTCCAATTTCACATTTCGGGGTGTATTTTGACGTGTAATTTGACTATGAAAAAAATTCGACAGTTGTAAATTTTCGCCTGTCTTAAGCTCGAGATTAATATCACACTGGTAATTGTAGAAACATTATGGGCCAAAAAAACCGTATTCATTTATTATGCATAGAAATGCATATTCTATTGCTGTAAAATTTTATAATACATGTAAATGCATGTGCAAAGAATTGAACATGAATCATGCGCTATTGAAACTTTTCGTGATGGACAGATTTAATGATTTGACTGCAGATTCTGCATTGTGCATAAGACCTCTGGTTTCTAATAATCTCTTAGATATTTGTTACTAAACAAGAGGCAAGGATGAAAAGCGAGTAAAAAATCTATTAATAGTTCTGACAGCCTAGCAAAATTCAAAGGGCAATCTCGGACGAGTGTGTTATTAATTTTATTTTGATTCTTCGGGTATTCTTAATAATGTTCCTAGAACTTGGAAACATTGCTACGAATCACGCATTTCATCGATTTCCCGTATAAAACCAAGAGAAGATTTCTTCAATGGTAACGAAAATGGCGAGAATAATTAGATTCTAAATATCGTGCGCGATGAGGTACAAGGGACCGGCATAAAAATTATGACATCGCTGGTTTGACAAAAAATAATACGATTTGAGATGGTTGCCGGGTTAAAAAAAGTTGGAATTAAACAGAATTTAATAAGGGTGAAAATATTAAAGAATTAAGGATTGCGACATTCCTAGCCGCTTGTGGATCGGGCAGGGCAGGTGGCCATTCGCTTTTGAACCGGTGGTAGTCAGTATAAAATCCCTTTGAATAGAGAAATAATAATTTTGCTTCGATGGATACATTTTATAAAAGAAGTTGACGGTCATAAGAAGACTTGATTATATAAATTTTGTCATAATATTTGGTCAGAGAATAAAAAACTGGATTCCGATTAGCTTAACATGCGTTATAGAAGGGCACGTGCTAAGTCGAGATAAGACAGTTCATTCAGGATCTAAGGCACGTGGCGGAAAGTCTTAGCGCCGTGTATCTGTCGCGTGTTGTATTAAACTTGAAAGAGCCCTTTTGGCAAATTAAGTTTAGGACACATTAAGATCATCAGCTTATGATGTCACTCACGTTGTCTGTGCCGATTTATCTCAAGTGTTGACTCTCTCTTTCTCTCTCACTCTTTCTCTCTCTCTTTGTGAGTGTGTGTGTATGTATTTTAATCATTATTGATTTGTAGAATAATTTTAAGTTCATGGCTCAAACCATTTTCGATGCTTTAACGTTTTTTTTGAAAACTAAACTCCCAAAGGGCACGAGAACTTTGTCGGCACATCATCCGTTCATCGATGGTATTGAAGACGAAACCTGAACGCAGCCCGGTCGGGACTCGCCTTGAGATTCCCCCGGGTGTATTTGAACACGGTCAGATTGACTATCTTTGACAATTGGACGGGGGTGTTCAACAGTGTTAAATATCAGACCACAAAATCAGACCGCTTTGTGAAGGGGATCGGTTACTCCGTCAAACTTGACTGGGGACCCGCGCAGGCTCTTCTTATACCTCCTCTTTATGAAATCCCTGTATTTTTTGCCATGATATTCCTGACGTTAAAGATCGCAGCTTTTGTGGCGAGTGGTCCCTGTAATTTAGCCACTTTAATTTTTTTTAAAGATGATCGCTAACACCTTTTTTTGCACTAAAGTTAGAGAAAATTTGATAACCTTTGTCATGAATTTATTGGATTTTACTTAACACCATTTTTTCTTCTTCTTTTTTTAAAAAATAATTTTCATGTCTTTATTTCCTTTTATTGATGTAAAATATTAATGATTGATTCACCTTAACTACACTATACATGACTAAGCTACTTGTGTAACAGAAAAATAGCATTAGTGACTTCATGTACATAATAGTAGTATTAGAAGGGTCTCGTTAAATATTAAGGTCAATAAATGTCACCGGAATCTGTAGACACTCGTGAAATTTAGCACAGAGATGCAAAAATAGAAGAAAAGCTATTTTTATATAGGAAATAGGGCTGGGCAATAATACCGATATTCCGGTATATTGCGGTGCGTTGACAAAAAATATCGTATTGCAATACGTTTTTGTAGTACCGATATTCCGGGAAAATGCTTGGACTCGGATTTCTATAATAAAAAATAAAATTTATGTTGTCAGAATCGTTTGTGATCATGCCAAACAGTAAGGCAAAAGCTGCTGCAGTGGGTGTATTTTGATGCAAAACTGTAATTAAATCAACAAAATATTTTTTTCTTGGCCATTTATCATAGTTCTGTACATTCTGCATGAAAATGGAAGTTAATAAAATAAGAAAAAAACATTTCAATTTTCGTTGGTTATATTGCAATACATATCGCAATACAGTAAGAAATATCGCAATACGAAATCTCCAGGAAATACCCAGCCCTAATAGGAAACCCATTATTTCAGGCACTTGGTATCGGGGAGTGGGAGGTTGTCTCCTACTTTTTTTCCATCCTTTTATGTTGAAAATTTTCATTGACAGGCCGATGCCTCCCCCAAGTTATTTTGTTGCATTATATAGTGAAATGACGGCTAATGTGGTAATTGCAATGTATTAACAAAATTTGGTTGTTAAACCAAATATAATTTTATCAGTGTCTCATTTTATTTGCTTCTTCCTTTTTGTTTATTTAATTACTTGTTCATTTATTTATATCTATTCACTCATTAAAGGATGAAGATTTTGATTTTTATATCATAAAATTAATTTAAAAAATATTTAAAAACTGGTCTCTCTCTCTCTCTCTCTGTAATTCTGAACAAGAAGGAAAATAAGGAAATAACATCAATTAACCTCTCGTACTGTTGAATCCGGCCTTATAAACTCAAGCAATTTAAAGACACCACCCTTGGCGTTGTAGTATTTGGCAATTTTGGAGACGATCTTCTACGGACAGTGCGCACCACTTTTTTCATTTTTTAACAAAGGATCGAGAGGGGATGAAGAGCCTGCTGATAGTTCGATTTCCTTCAATTCTTCAATCACAGTCTAATTGATCGACTTGATCACTAGAGAAAACAGTCGTTCCGTTAGAGAAATAGCATACAATGGCGGGATAATGGACCTCGACAAACATGATAACGAGTTCGGTCGCAGCTTTGAAAACTTTCATTGTAGGTAGCTGGAAAATATCACACCTTCTCGACACTGCGCCACGTATTTGCAGGTAAAAACCAAACCCGACCCTTCATTTAAATAAAGAATATTTGTAAAATTCATGATAACTGACACTTTAAAGTTTATTTAATATAAAATCACTCAGTTTGTTTGACATCTTTGGATTCCATTCATTGGTTGTACCTGTATTACAAATATTTTATCGTGTCATCGGAGCGGGGTAGATCGTTATCAAACCTTTGCTACAACTTTATCGCGGGGTGGGTCAATAAAACTGATGTAGGTAGTGTACAAACACGTGTACTTACTTATTCTGAGGACATTTTGACGCAATAGGAATATTATTTTTCTGTCCAAACAAATTCGTCAGATTTTTTTTTACCTTGTTCATCATTGAGTGATAAAACCTGCTGTAATTATCTAATATCTATCATTTGGCATAATGATTCAACTACAACAATGCATTGGCCCACTCGACTTCATGAACTCAACATACGCCTTTCTTTTAATTTAAATAAGGCATTAAAATTCGATCATATAAATAAATAATTGCAGTAAATAAATTTTACTATTAATCCTACAAAATGAAATTTTCATTTTTCATTTCTCATTTCTAAATATAGTCTGTTTTGATTAATCTTACTCAGGTCGTAATGAATATAGGAATTGACAACAACACAAAGAAATATATTTCATAAATATAATTATTTCCAAAATAGCAATTCATAATGTCGCATATATCTTAAATACAATAAGTTAAAACGCTTTTATCACATTGCGCTCTTGCATAAGTCCAAAGTTCAAGGAAACATTTCATAAGAATAACCTTCAGAAGTGTCCGAGAATTCTTCTGGGGTCACTGTTTGCATATGTCCATTGTAAAGTCCACGAGTCCAAACACCATGTCCGGAAAGTAAGGAATGTGCCGGGGATAATTCGGAAATGACGGAAATTGGCGATGTTACCGGGGAAACACAGGAAGTGCTGTCTGGAGATGCAGGGTAGGATGAAAATACTGGATGGAACATTACATTGTTAGAAGTTTGAACATTGTGTCCCTGGGGTAGCACTTCGACGTTGTTTGCCATGTATTCAACAAACTGTCCATTCACCGAGAGTTGTTCATTAGTTGAGGCGACAAAACTATTGTAACGTGGTGCAAGTCTCTCATTCATAGCACAAGAAACTGGGATGGACTCTTGCTTCAATGAAGGTGTAACACTCATTTGGTTTTCCATCTTGTCATCTTGGTCAGGAATTTTCTCCCATAGCTCCAAAGTTTTTGACAAAGTCCAAATATAATTGTAGGCCATCCTGAGAGTTTCAATCTTGGTTAGTTTGTTATCCCCTGTTGCACTCTCAGGGAGAACTTTTCTGAGTCTTTCCAATGCGTCGTTAAGTCCATGCATTCTATTACGTTCTCTGTCATTAGCCTTAGATCTTCTTGTTTTCTTTAATTTTTCTATTAATGCTGGACTTCGCTCTCGTTTCCTGGACTTGTTGTAGCGCTTGCGTTTCGTTGTCGTATTTTCTTCAGGCCGTTTAGGAGTTTCGTTGACTGCTGGCGATTTTTCGCTTACAAAAACTTCGTTGTAGTCTGCATCTAAAAAGTCTATCTCTGATACGGAGCCAGCTCTGGAACCCGATGATCTGGAAGAACATGAAGATGAGGAACTAAAGCTTGTCTCCACAACTGGAGAATAAATCATGTCGTTACTAAATTCTGCTGACATAACGGGAATAGTTAATAAGGCACTTAGGGTTTCGGACACTAGGCAGTTAGTTTAAAGTCTGAAACGATTTGACCAAAATAGGAAAGGAGCGATATTTTTATATCCCAATCGGGAAAATTGAGAGCATCTCAGTCCTCACCAATGATTGACAGACAAAGAGAGACCTCAATTAAAGGGCGGAATTAGCGCTCCCGCAACCAATCAAAAATGGCCTATAGCTTATGGCCACGTGCGCACGCGTCGCTCTCGCGATCAAAGGGACAGCCGATTTCACTGTCAAAACATCTCGATATCATTTTCGCCTCGATAGCAGCAGACCGACGATTAGTGAAATTAAATTTCAAGAGGTACTAGGGCAATTTTATATGTAGAAAACTACATTACATACTTTTTACTGAAGGGCACGAGCCGCTATAAACAACGACGTTAATTGGTTCAAGTGTTTACTTAAGAAAACACTCAGATTGTTTGTCGAAACACAGTCTTAATTGAATGATAAAAGAAGGCAATTTCAAAAACAAACTTTCAATTTAAAACACATATGTTGAAGAAAAGATCAAACTTTTTTACCGACAACTTTCAAAACATATTAATCTTTACGTTAACACTTGATAAAGTTATTTGCCTTATGTCATAATTGTTTAAAAATAAGCCGACATAAATAACTTCATTATTAAGTTTGGAAAAATAAACATTTTTATTTTTTTGTTCATAAAAAAACCCCCCGATTTCTATCTAATTTATCTTTATTCTAGAACAAAAGGGGGAATCGAATTTGATTCTTCCGAAATAACTCTATTAAAACCATGCCATTAATTCATACCTAGCAAAAATCAATCAGAATTTTAGGAATTTTGATGGTATTGACATGGACAGATTTATTTTTTAGATTGAGTATTTTATTAAACTTTTCTTGAAGTCCATAACTTTGATAACTAAGCTCCCAATCCCCCACTTGATAATGATAGGCAGTTTGTCGTTCTGGGTAGGGCTGATGAATTTCTTTGTCGCGTGTTTACCTGTACCCGACGCGTGTGTTTATTAGGCCGGTGTCTCAAGTCAGGGTGGTAATGATTAAAACAAGTTTCTGCCTTAATCATCTGAAGCAGAATAAGCGTTTTATATACATAAAGTTGTGGCATAAATATTGATTCTAATGATTTACATCAATCAAGTGTCAGGTTTAGTTTAAACTCTGATTTTTAGAAACATTCATATTGTCGAAATCGGTGTCCGATCAAAAGCAAAGAAAATTTTCTCTGTTGTAGAGCATTAAGACTTCTTTTTTATCGAAAAAAAGAAAGAAAAAAAAAAAAACAAAACAAAATGCAAGACAAAGGATGCAAATAAAAAAAAGTTACCCATAATTTGCCTTTATATCACAATATAAAATAAAATTGTGTTCTTGCTGGCGCGTCTCACTATTTATTCATTTAACATAGTAAGCAGTTTTTACATTTTTATAAAGGTCAAACAAACTGTTGAGTTCAGTATTATCATACACAAATACTGACTATTCAGAACTAAATAATTTGCCAAAAACCACACGTATAACAAGGAATAATTCATTAACTCGTGATCAGTGCCATAATGAATTTCATACGTAACTGTTCGAAATAATCTGGTCACAAATGATACATATTAATTATTAAATATTATTTTCCACGGACAGGATCAATTCCATGTTACGGTTTTAAAATTCTATAGAATTATTACAATAGTGCCAATTTCCAAAGAAAATTCCCCAATACGAGTAATTGTTATTTAAGACAATTAATCTAGATATAAAAAAAAACCACAACAAAAATAATAATTATAAAATAAAAAAAAATAAAAATAAAATTAAATATAAATAACAACCGGTTTCTTTAAATACTTTCACATATATTGTTGTATGTATGTGGCAATATATTTTTTTCCTCATAAGTTTTTTTTTTAAAATTATTATCATTTAAGAAATCCATTCTGCAAAATTTAAAACATTGCACGACAATCTTTACAAGAGTGTGATAGGGTTCTTTTAAATTACCTGTAATATTCAAAAGCAGAGAGACAGTAATATGTTTATTATCCTAATTCGGTTTTAAATGGGCTGCATTCCGATTTCTTTGGAAGGAATGAAATTGTTGTGTTGTGTTTGACGTCTCATTTCGTCTTTAAAAAAAATAGAAATGAAAGAACACACCTCTGGCAAGAGATTTACCGCTTTGTTTACAGAAAGTCGGGGGAAAAAAGAAAATCCAGGTGTTAACTTTTATTTATGTCTATTGTCAAACTTTTTATTCCTTTTTATCTGTAGAAAATACTATATATAGTATATAAACGAACTTTGGGTTATCAATACTACCGCGACAAGAAATTAAAACAATACACAGTATGATCCTTATAAATTACCTTGCATAAAGGTGAAAAGTAAGCGTATATCTGACAAGTAACGAGAGCATAATAAAGTCTGCACTTTGTTTTATGCCGTGTGTAGTGCATCTGCAAACTTGACGAATGATCCTATGGGATGGCAATGTTAGCAAACTCTTTGTGTGTATAATTACTAGGATTAAAAAAAATAATTCAATATTATTGGCAAATTATGTGATCATTTAAGAATGTATATACATCTTAACCACGAATGCCTCATTTACAATCAACACGCCAAGAAAATCATGGCGAAAAATGCAACTCCTTTCTGCAGTTTTACTGCTTTCGGTGACAGCACTGGAAGTTGTCTCGATCGATATCTTGCGCATGCGTTTAATTTGCACTGGCGCGCACATTTGAAAAAAGAAAAATGCAAGTTCAGGTGATAAACAGGAGAAATTATACGTGATGGTTTAATTTCATTGTCAATAATGTTTAACATTTTTAGTGCTTGGCTAATGAAGACAGACACGGTGAATTCAATAACCTAATGGGTTTGATCTTTTAAGAATTTATTATGAGTTTTTATCTCATCAAAAAACCGGCTGCAGCATTGCATCTAATATCGCACCACGACATGCAGAGAGGCGCAATACAGACTCCAGCACCTGGTCCTTTGCTCGATTTTTTCCTCAGAATCTAATGAAACACATCTTTTCATGTCTATCAAGTGCTATATTTAATTGGTCCTATTTCTCTGGCGTTAATCAATCCTTTTTTCTCTGGGATCTTTTTTCTGTAGCCGCTTTTCACCTGCCGTTTTTAAAATAGGAGATTATTGTTCTTGTTATTCATGACATAATGCGAGACTTGCACAACAGTGTTACACCAGACTTTCTGTTGAAGTGTTGAAAATGAGAGTTCAAATTATTTACATTGAATCAACATAGGGTCTGTAGTGATAAAATCAAGACTGTTGTGTTTCTCGTCGGAAATTCACGTGCGAGGCAGTGAAATCACTACATTCCCAACCCCATTGACAGCCTATGACGCCGGCGGTACCAGTTTGATTGCTGAACTAAGTTCTGTGGGACTTTCTGGAGTGTTTCCTGCTGGTATACGCTGTTTGTTTTTTGGCATAGGTTCTTCCATCTGCTCCTAAATGCAACTTGAAGAGGACCGTCTCACATCTGACAGAGGTCTGCAATGCTTTCAGATTTCAACCTGGGAGTATTTGGTTTTTGTCGCGAGCTTATCTTGTAATCACACCATCCTATCATGAACTATATGTTGCAGCCAGCTTCAGAAAGCCACACAACAGATCCCCCTGCTTACGTAACAGATGATGATAAAACGCTTCTCTGCTGCATCAGAACTGGCCATATGTTCATAATTGAGATTTTTAATTTTTCTGCAAATCTGTCTTCAATTACATTACCAATAAAACGTATAATATTCACATCCTAATTTGAAAGGGTCAGGTGCCTGTCATGGCGGACATTGAATCATCCCGGAAAAGGTTGCAAGAATTGGGTGTTTTAATTAGAGCAGGAATCAGCTCAAATCTGCTATTTGTAATTAGTTCTCACCCTAAATTCTATTTTAACCGATAAACCATGTTAGGTGACATTTTCTGGGACTGTTGTTTGACATCAGTTTACGGAAAAGGCTTTCAAATATCAGGAAAACCATCTTGCTCCCAGTGCAAAGCACTGCAACTGGAGACAGATTATTTGGCTTGATCGGCAGAAATTGGCCCACATTAAAAAAAAATCACCAAAGAGGATGCTTTACATCTATGTAGTTTGATATGGCTGAAGGCTTGTACTGTTGACACTCCTGCGGTATTGTATTATTTCATTGGTTGTTTTATGAACAAGTACCTCGTAATGAAAAATACATATACTATAGAACTATCCATAAGACGCTAAAAGTCCTGAGTCCAGTAAGAGAGTACTTGTGCGAATACTATGATAAGATAGAAAGGATTGAGCTACAGCATCGTGAAGCAAATGGCTGTTTGGCTACCTGAATATATACATGCATACATATATAAGGGTATGTACTTGTATACATCACACATTGTATCAGCCCGAGACACTAATATCAACCAGAGGGCAAATTTGTATATATATATATATATATATATATATATATATATATATATATATATATATATATATATATATATATATATATATATATGTATTGAAAAATAACCATACATAACATTAAGCTGTATTAGCCTCAGTTAAATAAAGTAATTTCAAGAAAAATTGATGCGTGTTTCGTCACTTTGTGAAGCAACACAAAGTTCCACGTATATCTACAAGAAAAGTCATTCTCCTGTAGAATAAGTATGATGTAGTTGGAGTTTTATTCGATATGGTGTGTAGTTTTTAAAGAAAGCAGGTGCTCTCTATGAAAAAATATTTATTTACGGGTTATAATATATTAACCAAATAAGTACAAAGTTATAACAAAGCGTTTTTTCGAATTAATTCCATCCCTCTGGTCAAACTATAAATACAAGTCAAGAAATCTGAAATACATTGTCAACCTTTATACTCAGTTTAACTAAAAGGTTTTATTTTACCAGAATGATATAAATTGTACGTGTTCAACGATATCGTGTTTAATTTCCA